CTTCCGCTTCCCCCCCCCCCATTCTCACTTGTGAGTTTATGCGCATGGGAGGGGCCCCTCCTCCGCTCGCTTTACTCTCTAGTCCATGGGGAGGGGGAGCTTTCTTCTTAACTTTAACAAAATCGCTCTAAGCTGACTCACGTTCATACTTGGTCATCCGACCTTGGTTTACTTTCGTTTTTAACTGCTCGATCTCCTGTGCTTGTCCCAGTCAGCGTCACTAGTTCCTTGCGGACACTCGGCAGAGGGACCATGGGGACAGAGAAGTGCCTCGATTCCCCAGCATCGCGCTGGCGAAGAGGCGACCTCTCAAAAGTCCCTTGGCCAGGAGTCTTTCGCCAGACCCCTGGGGGGGTGCGATGCATGCCCCCCCTTTTGCCTGTGCGCAGCTTCACTCCCGGGAGGTCCGGGAGGTGCGACTGCTTAGCGCGCCGCCATCGACCGGAAGTCTTCCGGAGTGCGTTTATTATCTACTTAATGCTCTGGATCTAGGGCATCCAAGAGCCATCACAAGCTCCCAGACAAAGATCACAACCACAAGGGAGGGGCATAAAAATGGTGAATATAAATGTATTCCAACAAAAATTACTTTTACTGTATTCCATAGACAGTGTTTTAAAATATTTTTTGTGTATGAAGATGGGAAGAAATATTTTCTATTTCTATTTTCTGTTTTATGATATATAATTATTTCTCTTTTTGTATTTCCATTATATTAACTATATGCCAAAAGTAAAAGTGAGTATTCGGTCATCGTGAAAGGATGCAGTACTGAGTCTGCAGCAATGGTGAAACAGATAATTTCTTTGAGAAACAGATAAGTTACGAAATTTGAAATGTAAAATGTTGAATACCCCAACGGAAGTAATTTTTATTGTAGACAGTGTTCAAAAAAACCTTTAATGTAATGAAGGGGTTATTGGGGAGAAATATTTCTTACCTCTTATTTTTTGTTTATGATATATAATTAATTTTCCTTTTCTTTATTTTACATAAGAACATAAGAGAAGCCAATGTTGGATCAGGCCAATGGCCCATCCATTCCAACACTCTGTATCACACTGTGGCCAAAAGTGCCAAGTGCCATCAGGAGGTCCAGCAGTGGGGCCAGGACACTAGAAGCACTCCCACTGTTGCCCCCCCCCAGCACCAAGAATACTCTGCATCACTTGCCCCAGACCAAGTGTTCCTATCTATACCTTGTGGCTAATAGCCACTGATGGACCTCTGCTGCATATGTTTATCCAATTTTCTTTATAGTATCTTTTTCCCCCCCAGATACAAATTCAGCAAGTGGAGATCTGGCAGGAATGGTATTCACACAGATCCCCATTTTCACTCCACTTAACGCTTGCTACAGACGTGTAGCGCACACTTTTACTTTGCCTACTGAATTGTATAGCATGGTTTGACAGAGAAATGGGAAAATAACCTGACATTTGAAAAAAAAACCACTTTCTTTTATTTATTTATTATTACATTTCAAGTGGTTAAGACGCTGAACTGCAGGCTGTGGAAGGTCAGTAGTTCAGCAGTTCGAGACCCGGGTGCCGCATGACGGAGTGAGCTCCCGTCTCTAGTTCCAGCTCCTGCCAACCAAGCAGTTCGAAAGCAAGAAATTGCAAGTAGATAAATAGGTACCACTTCGGTGGGAAGGTAACAGCGTTCCGTTCGCCTTGGTGTTTAGTCATGCCGGCCACATGACCACAGAAATGTCTTCGGACAGCACTGGCTCTTCGGCTTTGAAACTGAGATGAGCACTGCAACCCTAGAGTCGGATTCGACTGGCTTTCGAGCAAGGGAACATTTACCTTTATATTTCTACCCCACCCTCCCCGCGAATGGGGTCTATATGTCTATACCCTATGTCCCCAGCCCTCAGTGGTAGCTGAAAGGCACCACATTCCTTTATTGTCTTGGAATAATGAAGGACTTCTCCCTTTGGGAAGTTCTCCTGGAATTACGACTGATCTCTGGGCTACAGAGACCAGTTCCCCTGGAGAAAATGGCAACTGCAGAGGATAGACGCTATTGGCATCACAACCAGTGTTCTCTCTAAGCTGAGTTAGTGTGAGCTAGCTCACAGTTTTTTAGCCTCTGGCTCACAAATTTTTGTCTTGGCTCAGGAAGGAGGGCTCCAGAACTCACTAATTTATGCAGTAGCCAAATCACCTGCTCACAACTTTAATGCCAGTAGCTCACAAAGTAGAATTTTTGCTCACAGGACTCTACAGCTTAGAGGGAACATTGATCACAACCCTACTGAGCTCCCTCTGTTAAATACTGGGTTCCATGGATGGCCAGACCCACCCCAAGCTTAGTGATCAGCTCTCCTTTATTAGTGATTCAGCCAGAACAAAAAGCCAGGGCAACTGCCCTGTTTAAATAGCATGCAACTCCACCCACTTCCCAAAACAGCTACCAACAATAGGCCATTGTCAAAACTGGTGGGTTGTTGTTCTAGAGCAGGGGTGTCGAACTCATTTGTTTTGAGGGCCGGATCTGACATAAATGAGACCTTGTTGGGCCGGGCCATGTGTGTCATAAAAGGTAATACCAGGTAGCGGAGATATAAACTTTATAAAGGACACAAACACAAAGGTGTTTTTTTTACTTAAAATAATAGCATGCTTAAAGCATCAGCACTCTTGCAATGTTTTGTTTATTTAACAGTGTCTCATAACTGACACCTCTTGCTCTGAATTATTGCATCAAAATGTCTGTGCTGTTGCAATCTTGAGTATGCTGTTCAGGTATGTATCTGTAAAGTGCAAACCTCTGATGATGATGCAGCAGCAGAACTGGAAGAAGAAGGAGGAGGAGGAGGAGGAGGAGGAGATTGGATTTATACCCTGCCCTTCACTTGGAGTCTCAGAGCAGCTTACAAACTCCTTTCCCTTTCCCTCCCCACAACAGGCACCCTGTGAGGTGGGTAGGGCTGAAAGAACTCTTGACACAAACTGCTCTTTTCCAAGGACAGCTGTCCCAGAGTTTGTGACTGACCCAAGGTCACATCAGCAGGTGCAAGTGGAGGAGAGGGGAATCAAACCCGGTTCTTCCAGATTAGAGTCCGCATACTTAACCACTACACCAAACTGGCTCTCAGACAACCAGTTCCACTGTGGGCCTGATAGAAGCCCTCCGGGGAGGGGGGGGCTAGCTGATCCGGCCCCTGGGCCACATGTTTGACACCCCTGTTCTAGAGCTCCAAGCTCAGCCAGTCTCTGGTTGAAACAGTCCTGGAATGTTCCAGTCCCAATACATAACACCCCTCCCTTCCCCAAACTATGCCACTCCCCTGGATATGCCCCCAGATCTCCAGAAATCCCCAATCCAGAGATGGCCTATGTTGGCTGCATTTTAGTGTTGCCTCAGGATAAGCCATCCAGTAGGGCCCCCACCTTTGGAATCCTGTACCTTTAATATATCTGACAATAGAAAAGGGCAACCAGGGTCTCAGGGTTGCCGGGCTCCAGGTGGGGCCTGGGGATCTCCCGCTTTTGCAACTATATCCCGCTGACAGAGATCAGCTCCTCTGGAGAAAATGGCGACTTTGAATGGTGAACTCTATGGTGGACCATGTTGAGGCCCCTCCCCTCCCCTTCCCAAACCCCTCCCTCTCCCAGATCCACCCCCAAAGTCTTCCGGTATTTTCCAACCCAGACCTGGCCATTTTGGAAAGCATATTTTTACCCATTAAAGAGAACATTAACACTAGCCATACACATGTGTGCATTAAGTGCCATCAAGTCAATTCCGACTTATGGCAACTCCCATGAATTAAGGGCCTCCAAAATGTCCTCTCATTAACATTCTTGCTCAGCGGGGCCATATTAACTCGTGACCAAGCCCCTAGGCTTTCAGTTATTTCGGGGGCCCTCCGGCACTTCAATCTTTCACCCCACTACAGCTGACTGCCAGACCCTGATGTGGTAGGTACTAGACCGCAGTACGTAGCCCTATCTCCATGTTGAGGGTCTCCTGAAGAATTCTATTCACAGATTTTAAATATATTTTATTACGCGAGCAGAACTCTTCAGAAAAGCACAGTTTGGGGATAGAATTGTTCAATCCTGCAATATTTTGAAATGAATAAATTTTTTATTATTTATTAAAATGTATAATTTAGGGATAATTGTTTTAATATAAGAGAGAATTTGCTTCACTGCAATAAGGAAGCAGTTAACTATCTTATTAATAGAGGTTGTTGTATAGAAATATTGATTTCTAAAAGCCCCTGCCTTCCCTGAGATGTCTTGCTGATGACCTGCTGTGCCTTGTTTCCTGTTGAAGCCATATGGCCTGCACATTTGGCCGGAGAAACTTTATAGCCCTGCCATATAACCACACATTCTTCACACTTCCATGCTGGAAGCTAGGCCAGCATGCCAGAAGTCACGTAGCTGATGGGGAAAGCTGGAGGTTGGGTCACCTGACTGCAGAGGGAGTTCCCAGACTCCCAGCCTATCCCCACTTGCACCCATGACAACCAAGAATTGACCACCCCCCTGCCCACTCGCAATTGGCTCCTGGCCAGAGCTAATTTGTGACTGGAACGGGCCTATAACTGGTCATTCCCAATGGGAGAGAGCTCTGTTCTCTCTGCTGCTCTTGTGTTCTTGTTCCTGCTCGTGAGCTCTCTACACCCTGCTTGTTGTTTTATTGCACCTGGACATGTGGTCTCTGGGAGAACAAAGACCTGCTTGGTAACTGGAGCACATGGTGTGCAAAAATGGGCTTTCCCTTCAAGATCCCCTGGAACCCTGGACTGTAGATGTTCCTGATATGGTAACTATGTACCTTAGTGTGTAGTTAAGGCAAACTGCCTTAGGCTTGTTGTTTTAAAATCTTTTGTAGTCTATTTGCAAGACTCTGAACTGAATAAAGACCTGATTATTTTTAAATGGTCTCTGATGTGTAACTGAGTTCCAAGGCTAAACTCCTGTGCCTTCTGCTCACCATATAAGCTACCTTTGTAAGAATTAAACGTGCATCTCTAGATAGAGGTGCTAATGTGTAAAACCCAGATGCCAGCTAAGAGTCTGAACCTTGCTCTTAGGCTGGAAGGGGACTCTAGATAAAAGAGGTCCTGGTGGCAAATTGTTCTGAAATCCAGAGAGGATAGCCTACCTCTCTGGGTTGTTGTTTAATGTATTG